ATGAAGCAACGCCGCTCGCACTTTGTAGTCAGTTTCACGAGGGCTGCCAGGCTAATACAGGTCCTTGGAAAATGCTTCACGACAAGCGCCGCAATGTACACAGACTCACTCACATTTGATATACACTTCCAACTGATGCATTCAGATAGAATAGAGAATAGTAGTACTACTACCCATCTTTAAGGTATTTTAAATATGCAAAAAGCACAAAAACATACAACAGAAGGGATTCGCTGGTGGTCACCCACCCAACTACTAACCTCCCGGCGTGTGGCTTAAGTACGGCTGAGCGGACGGGAAGCCCTGTTTTCCACACCCTGTGGTCGTATGTACTATAATCAACATTGGAAGGAGTGATATAGAGCAAAATGCGAATGTTTTCTGAAAAGAGTGAAATTCTTGGAAGTCCCGCCGAAGAATCCTGATCAAACACAGCATATGTAGAACACATGAAGATCGATCTTCAGACCCAAGCTGTCGTGGGTCAGCATGAAATTGCCGCGCTACTATAGCGCCGCACGAAAGTCTCTTACATTAAAGTCGGCTGGAGATCAGAAGATAGAGATTCCCAAGATATAGCTAATCATGGATCCCAGAAGTCTACCTAGCAGGGTATGAATACGACGAAAAAAGGGTCCCGAGTGTAAAAACGCAAAAAGAGGCCTCGTTCCACGCCGAGACATCGAACAACTCGCGGGCAGCCGATGGCTGGACTCTCGCTTTGATGACTGATAGTGACAAGGCAAGCGTACAAAACATGAAGAGTGCCATGACCCGTATTTACCATTTTCCTGGTAGGCTGTGTCTGGACAGTACTCATTACGTCTGGCCTTCTGTCTATGCAGCACAATCAAAAAGCTATGTAAGAGTCCACCGTCAAAAGGTTCAACGCTCTGTCTGATTCTAGCTCTTCTCGATACTCATCACCACCCATCCACATAGCAACCTGATACCACCAGCTGTCTCTCCCGAAGCGCATTGCTGTCGTGTATTCCCAAAATTCGGGATACCAACCTCCGGATTCCCAGTCGAGAAAGCCAGCCAAGTGCCCATCTTCATTGATTAGAATGTTATGAGCTTTGAAGTCTCCGTGAGTGAACTTGACTTTATAAGGGCGCTGTTGTAACTGCTTCGCAGTAGCGAATGTATTATTGTAATCATCAACAGATATGAAACCATGCTGAGATGCTGGTGCAAAAAGGTGCTGGTAGAATGATTTGTGATCTTTGAAAGGACCCATGATGTGGTCAGGGACGCGCGAGCTGCGGAGGGCGGTTCCGATAGGCGAGCAGATAATATCCTGACTTGGTGGCTCCCACTCGCGCATAGCGTGGACGCAAGTCTTCAGTTCTTCAAGCCACGGACCCTCGTCAGCAACCTCCAAGGGATCATCGGAGTTCACAAGACTGAAGCCCGGCAGTCTCGTCATGAGTATCGAGACCTCTCGGGTCAAGTGAGGAGTAACGTGCTCTCCGCAGCTGAGGACTCTTGGGACAGGAATACCAGCTGCTCGAGCCATTTGCATTGCAATGACCTCCTCCACGCTCGTCCGATCGGTCCATTTTAGAACGAGTCCAAACGGCAGCTGGATAATGTGCGGGTCAAAATATAACCCGAACAGGTAGCAGTAGCACCGTGAGAAGTGGTAGAGCAAACCATGTGCTTTACCCCGAAGCCATCTGCTATTGGCGTCTGGTACGGCGGGCACTGGTGGGGTTACTCTTTGGACTGTAGTAACAGCGGGTGCTGGCCAGGTATAATCCGGAGTTATGATTGAGGGGATAAGGGAGAGCCACATTGTGAACAGAGCCCTCCAGAAGATGAACAAGTCAACATTTCTCGGTCGCTGTAGGAAGTAAACAAGGATATGCCGGACAATTGATCTTGCGGTTCCGACATGACTGCATGTGTTTTCTTTCAGGGATCATATATTTGGCTAGATAAGGGTATAGATATGCAGACACTATGGTGAAACAGAGAGATACAGATTCGTCCTTGGTGGTTAATGTGGGTGGCAGGCATGAACTGCACTCTAGACCCGTAAAACTGAGCTATTCTCCAGCATGAGGCATTTGGAGTACTACTAGGCATACATGCCAAGGGCAAACTCATTAGCCATGTCCAAAACCGAGGCCACAAGATGATTCAATGACCTCGACCATGGCCTCTAATTTATTCCGAACATGACAACACTGATTGTCTCAAGTCCGCCTAACTGTTTAACTCATTCTTTACCCTATTCCACACCACCACCATAGAATGTGCTAGCACCTTCAGGGTAGCTATTCAAGGGCCGCTGATTATTATACCTCCATATCCACAATATAGGGCTTGTTAGTGATCTCGTTCGTAGCTGTCATAGCTGTATGCCTTACATATAGTCTATCGCATATCGCCCAGCCTTTATCACCTGGCGTACCGTTTGGACCCCGATCATGCACTTCTTGGTGCAACTGTGAAAGACCCAGTAGACAGCAATTGATCTGGTAATTTCCATTATTCGGAGAGTATCTTGAGCGCCATGGATTAGATCGGCAGATGAAATTCCAGCCGTGATTGTACAATTAACTTAGTTCCCCACCCTGTGCCAATCAAACTAGAATCACACGTATAATGATTGAATTTTGTATGATCCTTTGCCAATATTCTTCAAACACACGTGGGAATCCTGGAGGCGATTATGAACGGGACATATCAACGCCAACCTGTTTCACGAAGATCTCCTGTAATACTGCCTAATGCAGTAGCTCCATTACTCAAACGGATCGATCTTGTCATATGGAATCTTACATCGGAATATAATGCTATTGGTGCGTTTTGGCAGGTGACAATGCATAGCCGAAGGCCGTACGACCACGGGTAGTCGTCCGAAGCTTTGATACACCTATCATCACCTGGACTTGAAGCCAAACGCTTGGTCGCAGAGGTTAAATGCTGGCCATTTTTGCAGGTATACATGGCGTTACACATCCCCAGCGCTTTGGTAAAATTGGGAATCTGCGTATTTTTCGCGCACCTCTTGAACATACAACACGATTGTCAGCCACATCAGTATGGCTCTCTTGAATCAACCGTTAACGCCAAGGAGGCAACTCGGATAACAAATCCATTTTCTCGTGTCCGTATACCCTTGTGAGGAAGGTTTGGAGTAGGAGGCCTGATGTATACTAGCCAATTGTAAAAGCATACTTTGACTTCAAGATCACACGAGGTATCATGGGATACATCCACTATCCTCTTTTCTCGTATTGGCTTCACGTTTCAGTCACTCGTGGGCAACATATGAAATGCTAGATCTGATTAATTAGCAGCAATAATTCGTGAAACATTGATTCAGGATCACGAACTGGGAATCCAACTCCGCTCCGTACATACAGATGCTCATGTCGTAATGAGAGTGGCTGTGCCAAGTACTAGACATAGATCCCTTGACTGCCATGATCAAACACCAGTCAAACCTACAAGGTAAGCGAGTAGAGCAGCGTGAGAGTCGACATGGGCTGGTATAAGAAGGCTGGCTCTCCACGAATTCGATCAAGCCGATGCAACATCCATCAGATCCCCAAAAACACACTCTAAAGCAAGATAATCTTTGTCCTCATCATGCATCTTATTCCTGTTGCTATCGCCACCCTTCTGACGACTGCCAGCGCTATCGCAGTTATCAAGCCCGCTGCCGGTGACACCGTTCACTGCAACCAGCCATGGCAAGTGTGCTGGACCGCGGTCAAGTAAGTATCGCGAATGACTCGAAACTTTGAAACATGGTCTAGTGCCCTAGCTAATGTAATTACGTTCTCCAGCACTGATCCGCCACAGTTCTGCCTCTACCTTACCAACTTTAGGGAATTCCCTCCCCAGGTCGTCGATCTCCTCAGCCGGACGCCCATCACAACCGATGGTGGGGGCTGTGTGACGATTCCTCCGCCAAGTTGCCCATCCCCCCTTCGCACAACGTATGTGGTAGACTCCATTTGAGTATCGTTCGTGGAGTGCGTGTCCAATATTTGCTGACATGAAGTTTGCGTCTTCTAGTCCTTATCGCGTCCGGGCTGCTTCCTGTTCAGATTCCAATACTATCTACGCGGAGTCTGGGGACTTTACTCTCCTCCCTTAACTTCCTGTCTCTACGGAGAGAGATGTACACGGAGTGGACTTGTAATATGACAGGCCGCACTTTGGTTAACAAGACGGCTGATAGGAGGGAAGTTGGCTTAGTAGTCTGTTCTGTTCAATGGCAAGCATAGTAGGCCGCAGGCATGGGGCGAATCGCAACATCGCTTATCATAACTGGCTTCAACAGTCGGTTCCTTCATTCGTTTTAGGATCTTCACTTATTTTTAGGTCATATTTGTTCGAATTTGAATTGGTTTCCTGCTTTTTTACAGACTTTTCCGTCTAGGAGGAAGGACACCCAAGGCATCTTACAAAACAGTCGAAGGCACAGGACCAGCCGCGAGTGGCTTTAGTAGGTTCAGACTCTAAAAAGGTGACATTAAGTATTTAGTATCTTGTAACCATCTTTGATAATACATGATTGAAAGCTTTGATCAGTACTTGAGAACCAATTCAGCAGGTATCCCAAATGTAAAGCTGCTGCTATTATCATAAAAAGTATTGGTTCTAATGGGCAATTTCGGTCATTTGTAGACGGTGTCTCCATGATACCCGAGCAAAGAACCCGTAGCCGTGTAGACCCTGACAGCGTTACTATCAATTATAAATTCAAGTAAGCTGTCGATGATATGTATGACTGTACATCTTCACGTGATATATGATCACTGCGGCAACAGACAGTTCGTGCTTGTGGAACGCTTCTTCCTTCCCAGCAGTCAGATGCGCAAAAGGCAGCTTCGGAACCGTTATCAGGCATCCATCATACCAACTGACAATGAAGTGTCATGCCCAGCTACTTGGGCGCCCTATTCTTTCCTCAACACCTATTAGCCAACCATGTTTCTCCCCACCAAGTGTCAGGTCGCCCCACTGTCCCCAGAAGACCCACTCAGGCTTATTTGCACGGCTTAGTTCCACAAAGCCTCAGGCTCGCGTGGAGTACAACTGGATCATGGGGGTGGAAACACTTGAAGACTATCAGCCTGGAGGTTACCACCCAGTTATGATCGGTGACGTGCTTCATAGCCGGTACCGCATCGTAGATAAACTAGGTCATGGTGGTTACTCTACCGTCTGGCTCGCTCGAGATACTGCCCTTAAGAGATATGTCGCCCTGAAAGTCAACACAGCGGACGCGCATCCACGGGAGGCAAGGGTACTTAGGACACTGTTTGAGTCATCCTCATCCTCAGCACCTCCTGCCCACGGACGCAGCTTGATACCGATGATATTCGACGAATTCCAAGTACAGGGTCCAAACGGGATACATGCGTGCTATACTACAGCCCCCGCACAATGTAATCTTAGGGAGATCTCTTTCAGCCGTCTTTTTCCTCTTGACGTGGCTCGAGCGCTGTGCTATGGACTTACACAGGCTGTTGCTTACATGCATTCGCACGGATATGTACACGGAGGTTCGTCAAGAAGGCCCTCTCACGACGTGGTCCCCATGAGCTAATTACGAACCTACTGAATCAAGATATTCACCTAAGCAATATCTTGATTAAGCTCCCATTTAAGTTTGACAATCTTTCTATCAAAGAATTATACGAAAGTTATGGGGAACCCGAGACAGTTCCCATCTCGCGCTGCGATGGAAAGCCCCTTACTCCTAATATCCCAGCTCAAGCGGTGAAGCCTTTATTTCTAGGAAAATATGCCGAAACAATGACGCTAGCCGATGTACGTCCACTTCTTAGCGACTTTGGCGAGGCCTTCGCTCCTGCCTCAGAGGTTCGACTTGGACAAGACTGCCACACACCTCCGGCCTTTCGCTCTCCAGAAGCCAGATTTGAGCCACAAAAGCCGCTTGCGTATTCTTCGGACATCTGGAGCCTAGCTACGGCGATATGGGAGGTTATAGGAATGAAAGCTCTCTTCAGTATTGATATGGTTCCCGACGATGAAATTGTGGCACAACATATCGATGTACTGGGACCACTGCCAAGGGATTGGTGGCTGCGTTGGGAGGGAAGAGGCAAGTTCTTTACGGAGGATGGGCATCCAACAGACGCATACCTGGAGAATAAATGGCCTCCCCTTGAGGAGGCATTCGACATAGACATACAGAAGTGGAGGAGAAAGTGGAGAGGTGTGGTTGAGGAGGAAGAGAGAGCCGCGTTTGTGGATCTGATCCGCAGAATGTTGCTGTTCCAACCGGAAGCGCGACCGACAGCTGAAGATGTGCTCCAGTCGGAGTGGATGGTCAAGTGGGCTTTGCCGGATTATGAGCGAAGTTTAAATATATCTGTTTGATGTGATAAGTACGCAAGGAGGTAAATATAAATACTAGTAGCGAGATTCAGCCGGAAGATCCACTCAGTTGATCACGACCTAAATCAGATTTGCGTCTTTTGTCCATCAAATCAACCAATACCGAGGATATTTCTTTTTCTCTCCGCTGATTGAGAATATTATTACAGGGCAAGCCTAAACACATTAGAGGATGACAACAAAAACACTTTTGCATCAGCTATGTACCAGGCCATAACGTTAGAGGTCACCTTGAAGGTGGACACCTCTGAATTCCTCAGCTGCTGCCCTTTCCTTCGCTAGGGCATTGATCCAACCGGCAAGACGTATGGCCGCCTTGAATATTTGTTCATCAACAATAGGCGCAGCTACCTCATAATACTCACCACCCAGATCGTTCTCCTCAAGCCACTCAAGCCCCCTTTCCATCACGAAATCACAATTTAGCTGATTTGATTCCGTCGCCCACTTCTTGATGCATTTCAAGGGTTGTCGAGTATTTGCACACTTGGTATCAACTGGTCGCGGCCTATTTTCCTGATGGAGTCTATCGGCCCACTTCGCTGACGCCAGCCGTTCAGGATTGTGTTTGAGACTGTGCTTTATGCCATTGATTTTGTGTGGAATGGCAGTATCCCAGACTGAGTGTAGGTTCCATTTCTTGTTGTCATCGTCGCACGGAGCCTTTGCATCGAAGCAGACACGAATATCATTCCCACCTCTTGCCACTCCCGTGACGTGCAGTGGTTGATGTAGGTCCCCGAAAAGGTGAATTAAAAACATCAAGGCCTCCTTTTTCTGGGTCTCATTGGCTTTCTTGTCCGCGATTTGATGAGTCTATTGTCCCAGAGTGTTAGAGACCGAGGACTCAGAGGGACGAAAGTAAGAAATATTTCGTGTTTCAACGATATTGTGGATACAGGCAACTTACCATATTTGCCATCAGTGAGATGATACAGCCTTCGGCAGGGCAATCATCCGGATATGAGACGGAACATGAATTTGGAGGTTCGTCGTTTGGGTCTAAAGCCAAAATAGATGGTGAGTGGTCCATATACTATTCGTATAACATACTGATATAATGCAAGGGTCTAGTGAGCGGTCGTTTCCACTTGATGGTGTCCGCCCACGTTGCGGCGTCAGAGATATCAAAGCCTTTATCGTTGGCGAGAAGCTCATTTACGAGATCAGAGCCGGTACGAGTAAGGTGTTTCTCAGCCAAGTAGGCGATAGCTCGATGCCCAACATCTCCCCAAGCGATCGCTGGTTGCACTGACAGTGTGCAAATTGTGAAAAGAAGGAAAGCCCGCATTGTAATGGTACGTGTCGTAAATCTGGCCCTAAACAAATATACAGTGGTTTTGGGGGTACAAGCACTAGGATACCAAGGGCATTGTCTTCTTTTAACATCGCTCCGGCTAATAGCCCAGTTTTGTAAGAGCACAGCAAGCGGGTACCTACTAACTACATACCAATGGCCATCCGAGAGCCGTCACAATGACATTATTGGTTCTTGTAATACAACCTCACCGTCGATACAGTGTCAAGTGCGGAGAAGTATGTACTGAGGTTTCATCATTGGTAGGAGATGAACAAAGAGAAACTAGCTATACGAAATCTACTCCCGCGGACAGCCAAATTACAGGGACCCACGGCACAATATGGCTCAATCGTGCTTAGAGTTCTATGCTTATCCGGTGTGGTTCGATCTTCGATTCTAGCCGTGGCCTATTCCTTTAAACTCTGTCTCTCCAGTGGATAAGGCTGCCGAACACACCACGTACTGTGATCATTTTCACACTGCCAATTATTGAAGTCTAACTTTGGCACAGAAACCATGGATCATTGACAGTTTGGATATTTTAATCTTTTCTGCGAAGAATCCTTCCTATTACGACGCTTTTTTTTGTTGAATGATCTAAGCGCTATACCACGGAGGGCGCGCTGTGGCCGCTATACAGCATCTGCCATGCCTCGCCACAAATATTTAGTAATCGAAACGAGATTATGTTGGGACAGTAATCTCTCCGTCGCTAGTCTGACTAGACGCGATATATCGTTTTTGGTCTAGCGGTTAGTGCGCGACAGATTATTTGGCCTTCCGCAAAGTTTGCTACTCAACCCATATCCCTCAATATGCTTCCACAATTATCATTTTGAACTTAGTAAGTTTCATGTCGAGTAGCAATATTTGACAGTCTGGATCAGCACTTCGCAAATCAAAAATGAGATGGAAGAGCAATTTTGCTTCACAGATTTTTTTTTCAACGCTCCACAGCCTATCATTTTCAAGACAGAAGTACCCACCTTGGCTGCAAAACGCCTCAATCTCAATGTGCAAAAACTATCGGACGACCTTCTGTCGCTCCCTGCCGAGCCCCATAGCTTACCCCGTCGACCCTCAGTCCCTCCTCATTGAGTAGGGTGATAGTATCACCATTATTAGAAAGAGGGCAGTTTGACATCTCAAACCTCTTCATAGCCCGAGAGTCCAAAGCTGCATTGTGAGGGAGCGCTTGAACTTGACCAGCAGCATTATGAAACCTCCATGATGCCAGGGCCACTCTGTGATTTGTAAGATTCTCAAGCGTGACGAACTCCTTTTCTTTGGCAGACCGGTCATCTCTGCCTCGTGGATTGACGAGTGCTTCTTTGATAGCCACCGAGTTCTCAATGATCTCCTTGGGTAGAACGTCCGCCCAGGTAACGACGTGCTTTGCAAAAGCATGTCCATTGTGGTCATCAGTGTGAGCGGCTTGTGATGCGAATGCAAGGAAAACGCCAGTCCAGTGATCGTCGTACTCAATGATAAGGCCGCCATCTTGAAACACGCCATCATCCTTGACAAAGTGCGGAATATTGCCCTGGTTCATGTGAACATTGTGGATTCCGTTTCTGGTGTTGAACATAGAGCCGAATAGATATATTGTAGCTTTGTGGTGAATTGCCTTCTTTACCTCAGGCTCCAGGACATCAATTATATCGTTATTTGTGCCAGGGATGTCATGGGGAAGAACACGGCCGCTCTGTGTAGTGAAGAGGTTCCCCCGGATGAAGTCCAGGCCTTTACCATCGAAATCGGTGAGTTCTTCAATTGGGTGGAAGCCGAAGTCTAAATTAGATAGCTTCTCGGTGATGGGATGCTCGACAAGCTTGTGATTTACCCAATAGGCAAGCCGGGACTCCTTGCCAGTGGACTTGATGTTGATAGCTGCGCGGAATAATCCAGGAATCTCCCTTGGCTTCTGCTTGTTTGGTGGATTGCCCTTGTGTTTGTGTCGGTAGTCACGGTCGAATTGTGGCATTTTTGCATTATTGTCATGGTAGTACAGCGAGAGATGGGGGGATTTGGGGTCCTCAAAACGATCTTCCAGCTCGTAGTGAGCTGGAAATCCCTTCCAGATTCCGTAGTCTTTGACGGGCATGGTGTTTATGAGTTATGTAGCAGCGTTGGAATATATATTGGGCTAGTAGTATTGTTTGGAAGCTAAGAGGAGCTAAGGCTAAGTCCAAGTGCAATGGATCTAATATATCTCTGGGAATTTCGAGGAGGGGAATGTGGAACGAACCACGCGTTTCTCATAACCGTTACAGTTAAATCTCTTCTAGTCTGGAGCGGTCTACCGTGTTGCATCTTTGGTGTTCGGTCGGCCTCCAGCCGGTTCCATGGTTTCTGTGGGCCAATATAAGCTTATGTTGTAGTGTATTATCACGCCGACACATTTCACGTGGACAACTGTACGGGATCAGGCCACTTCTATCTATTAGTGCAAGGTAAATGCATTTTAATTAATCGGATTCTTACGCATCCATGTTATGCCCTAAATGGAATTATGAGGAAAGAGAAACCCAAGGGGACAATGATTTCTGGATTGACAATATATCCCGCACATCAAGAGCCTGATGGCGCTGCAAGCAGGGATCCGTCCACCTCAATGTGCCCTTAGAGGCCTCTTGTAGCACCACAAAAATGGTTCATATTTATAGCCTGACGCCTCACGTCGTTTCTGTTTCATTTGAAAAGAAGCGTCCGGAGGAGGGCTGTCAACCTCGTATTCGTCGATCCGCTAACTCTACTATTTAAAGTTATCCGTATTCAACGCCACCCCCTCCTTGTGGGAATGGCTTCCGCGAACCAACCTTTCATTCCTTATTCATATTTGTACCTATTCCAGATTCTCATGACCGCAATACCTTGTTTTGCCCTTGACTTCCCTCGTAATGAGGGATGAGGTTTGCGCTGTAGGAGTTCACTCCGCACCAGCTGTAGCCAAGGAACGCCGCGTCGGAGCACCAGCATCTGCTGGATACGAACGAATCTTGGCTTCGTCCAAACTTTCCCAGTCTGCGGGAGACCTCGTGTTCGAGGGCAGATGATGTGAGGCTGACAGCCCCAACGGTGGCTGGGGCTCAGCTGAGGTCTAGTTAAATCCAAATAAATAGGGGTTCTACGAGGGAGTTCATAATGGGCGGTAGGGAATAGCATGTGAAATGTGCGCTCGAACCACTGAATCCCAAATATCCACATGCAAAATGTTACCTAAACGTCTCATTGTCTGCTGCGATGGTATGTTCGATTGAACTACTAGAGGAAGCTAAATCCGTGCTGATAATGGTCGGTTCTCCCAGGAACCTGGAAGGATTCGACAGCGGATTCTCAGGAACCTCCGTCGAATGTGACGCGGTTGACGCGCACTTTAAGCCGCGTGGCAGTCGTGGAAGAGAATGGAGTGAACAAAGAAATTCCTCAAATCGTCTATTACCAGAAAGGCGTTGGGACCGGTCTAGCCGACAAGTATTTCGGAGGTACGGTGTCTAGACGTTGACCCGACCCGTGTTCCATGGGTATCTCTAACTGATGTACTAGGTGTCGCCGGGATCGGAATCAGTGCGAACGTTCGTGCCGCCTATGGCTTCCTCGTGGATAACTACGAGGAGGGCGACAAGATCTACTTTTTTGGATTCTCACGGGGTGCTTATACCGCCAGAGCGATCGCGGGTATAGTCTGCGAACTAGGGCTGTTGACTCCCCGAGGCATGGACAATTTTGCCACGGTATACGATGACTTCTACGACCGAAAGTTGCCGGTGTACGATGAGGAGAAACGCCGACAGCTGGGTTTCCGCGACCCCCTCCCACGGTTCACAGTAGAGATTGTCGGGGTCTGGGACACGGTCGCGTTCCATAAGCCCTGGATGTTCGGAAACTGGTCAGGGGAGAAACTCGAGTTTCGCAATACGCTGCTCTCTAGGGAGGTCAAGTATGCTTTTCATGCACTTGCGCTGGATGAAGAGAGAAGTGCCTACCAGCCCACACTGTGGCATCAGCCAGAGAATGCTGATGGCCAAGAGCTGCTGCAGGTGTGGTTCTCTGGTGTGCATACAGATGTGGGCGGAGGAGGGCAGGACCCCCGACTGGCGAATATCACACTGGCCTGGATGATCGCGCAATGCACCAAGCATAATCAGTTGAGCTTCGATATTGAGGAGTACCTCTTCGACCGTCCTCCACGACCGTTAGAGACAGACACAGCCCCATGGGCGACGGCATTCGGCAAAACAAACACGGGAAGCTTCGCTCGGACGGTGGAGACCATTCTGGGCGGGAAGTCAAAGAGGACACCTCTCCAGTACAAGCAGACTGGCGATGGAAATCCACAGCCTACCAATGAGGTGATTCATGCTTCTATCGAGGACCGTGTATTGAGTGGGAAGGGAACCATAGCTGGGGCTGTACTTTGGCCCTCGCTAGTAATTGAACGCCTAACTCCTGATCAAGAATGGGTACTTGACAGTGGAGGCAAACTTGTGCAAGCGCCAGTGCTGAAAGAGGAACTGTTCATGAAGGGGAGGATTCGGACAGTTCATGTGGATGAGGTAGACTGATGTACTAAGTTTGGGTATTTCATGTAGTAATAGGACGTCTTCAATTAGAGAGATATACTTGTAGCAATTGCTAGACCCAGGCGGATAAGTTTGGTAATAAACCTGATGTTGAATGAATAGAAAAGCATATTCCAATTCTTCTCCTATATAAGATGCCAATACAGTATTTATCCATTAACAAGGCATGTATGCGCATTGCTAAAGAGGATGATGATGCCCGAAAGTACACACCATTGACTGCTCCAGCGCTAAACGCCCGATATCAGGACATCGACGCTTTATTGTATCACAAATTACGGCCAATACCTCTCTTGGCTACTTCTTTCTACTTTCTTCAATCTCTTCCATGGTGTCGAATCTAAGCCTTGCCGAGATCAGCCAACAGAAAGCACCATTTTTTACCCACCTACACGGTAATGGGTCTAGTACTGAAATCCGATAGGGCAGTTCGTTAACTATAAAATTAAAGATCCACAATTAGCGATAGCGCTTATAGAACAATAGATCAATCTCTAATACACACCAATTACTGTCCAAGGCACTACCTGCCTATTCAGTCAGCTCATATCAGAACCAATAAAACTGCCGCTCTAGGGTCATCTTTGACGCTAGGCTCCACCAGTACGGCGAGGATGTGATCCTGCCGCCCGCTTCTGATCCGATGGCCTTGAGATCGACTATTCGAGATTCACAAAATTATGTGAGTTCTTAGGCACCCTATTGCTTATTGGTAGTTGCTTCGCATCAGACCTCATGGTTTTGCATGGGCTATAGGGCAATGGACGACTTGGTACCCTATCACGCAATAATTCATGATTACAAACCAGCAAGACTAATACTGCGAGTCAAAGACCGAAGCGCCGATAGACAGCTCAGAGATGACAAATGTACTTGATGATAGAATGGATGGGCATATATCATTGACGTTGAAGTAGCAAGCATAATGTTACATCTTTCAATGCATGTCTTAAGGCTCTCAAAATCAAAGGTCATGTCTCTAACCCAAACCACCAATATGCATGTCAAATGCCGCCCTCCGGCAGGTAATATAACAGGTAGTTCTGGTTCTTCAGAGGCAGAAAAGCAGACGACCACAGAGCCGGTGGATACGGTTCCCCTTCCACCTCCTGATGGCGGCTTGACGGCATGGCTACAAGTCGTGGGAGCATTCTTTCTATTCTTCAACTCGTGGTAAGTGATAGGATTTGTTCAGACATAGCCCATAACGCCAACCAACTCATATCTCAGGGGCATCGTGAACGCCTACGGAGTATTCCAGAGTTACTACCAGTCCGACCTGATCCCCACATACTCATCCTCTGCCATCACCTGGATCGGCACTGTGCAAGGCTTCGTCCTGTTTCTGGTTGGGGTGATTGTAGGCCCCATCTTCGACAAAGGCTTCCTGCACAGCTTAATCGCCTTCGGAACATTCATGGTAGTGTTTGGCCTGATGATGACCTCTCTCTCAAACCAGTACTATCAGCTTTTCCTTGCGCACGGCATCACAGTGGGTATCGGCTGCGCATTTCTCTTCCTACCCAGCATCGCTATCGTCACCACCTACTTCACCTCACGCCGCGCCCTCGCCACCGGAATAACAGCGTCAGGAGGCAGCATCGGGGCGGTGGTCTACCCCATAATGTTCCACAAGTTGATCAGCCGGGTAGGATTCGGGTGGACGACACGCATCATTGGCTTCGTGGCGCTAGCCGGACTGACAATCTCATTGCTCGTATTGAGACGGCGGTTACCACCGCCAACGAAGAGCAGATCATTACTGGACCTCGCTGCCCTCAAAGAGCCACCCTTCCTCATATTCAGCTTCGGCCTCTTCTTTTGCTTCGTGGGACTTTATTTTCCCTTTTTCTACCTCCAAAGCTACTTCACCTACTACTTGCACAACGACAGCAGCCTGGCGTTCTACATCTTCTCTGTCCTCAATGCTACCTCGGTGCTGGGTCGCATCACCCCAGGCCTCATGGCCGACCGTATTGGTGGCCTTAACACACTAGTACCTATCAGTCTCCTTGCGACTATTCTGGCATTCGTGTGGATTGCTGTCCGCAACGTGGGTGGGGCTGTCGTTTTCACTTGTCTCTATGGATACGCTTCTGGAGCTATTGTCTCCCTGCCGCCATCTATCTTGACACGCATGTCCCCGACCCTGGGTGTTGTGGGCACGCGCCTGGGCATGATCTTCATGTTTGCTGGTTGTGGGTTCCTCATTGGTACTCCGATTGCTTCCCTTCTGTTGGATCTAGAGCAGGGTTGTTTCTGGAAGGCTCAGCTCTTCAGTGGTATGTTTGTTGCTGCTGGGACGATCTGTTTCGTTGTTTTGCGGGTCATGCTGTGGCGGCGAGGTAGCGGTTTGAAGATTTGAGACCCATTGAGTAAGAGAAAAGATTTATACACCACAGGGAAGTTTTTGGTGGTGACGAGGCAGAGCTAGTCATCACTATATTCAGACGATATAACAGTATAGAGGAAGCCCGTGTTGTGATTTTTTGTATTACTGAGCCGTGGAGAAGAGTAGAGAATTTCAATGAAATCGATGAATAATTCTGATCTCAAACCCAGTCCTGCTGGTTCGGATCTTCACTTGCTTTATTGAAGTCTAAATTTATCTCGATTTCAAAGCTCAGGAGCTAAGGCTCCGAAGTAGCCATTCCCTCCACCCCTTGTCTCTGACAATAGATCTCACACGAGCCTCAAGCCACTCGGTATTTCCCCAGAAACCCCAAGATGCCTGGAACCTGCACCAGTCCACTAGAGCTGTTTCCCAGTGTCGTACAAAGGTTTCCCAATCATACCAGCGCTCTCCTTTATCCTGAAGCAACATTCTATGGTAGTGCTCCAGCAAAGTTCGCTCACCTTCACACATTTCCAGTTGCTCTGGTAGCAAGTCGTCCTCATCGTCAACAAGCATCTTCAGTGGAACTGAGCATGTGAACAGTTTAGCCAGGTCGCAAACTCCCAGGCCCAATCCGACATATTGAAAGTCAAAGAAGGCTACTTCATCTCCCCCAGTTGTCGTAAAGAGGTTCTCCGACTTGACATCGCCATGGATAAACGACTCCATCTGCCTTCCACAGGGTGTCAAGAGCAATGCAGCCACCTCAGCCACGGATTGAGAAGACCCATCTGAGGCTGTACACAAGATATCGGACCATTCCGAGTCCGTATCCTCCACCAGCGAAGCGTACTCCTTCCGGCGGGTCGCCAAGTACGTGTACCCCCCGTTAAGCCACAGCGCATTCCCTGTCTCCGTCTTCCCCTGCTCCCGCCTTCTCTTCGCTTCCTCAAGCGGCGGCAAAACATACCCATCCAGACTCCTGTCGTCAGACGACAGACCCCACGACCGACTATGGAACCGCGCCAACCAATCCAGCGCCCCATAGACCTGAACACGACTCAACACGCTCCTCTTCTCCCCCGCAACCGGAAACGCAGGCCGCAAATCAACCATAATCGTCGCCATCAAGCCACGAAGTTCCTCTTCACCTTGCTTTCCATGCATGTTTCGCGTCGACGCCAAACATTTAGCAACAGCAATATCGTCCCCTAGTCGGGGGACTACATCGCTGTAAAAGTATTGCTCCACCTCATAACTCAGCATCTTCCGGAGATGTCCCTCATCTTCCTTACCCGCTGCTTTGCGAGGCGGTGAAATGAGCTTCAAAATCAGAGGGAATGTGCTCCCCGCGGTTCTTTTCGAATCCACTCCGCAAAGTTTCCCGAGATGCTCCGCCGCTTCGGCGGTTGTGGCTCGGGCGGTGAGGGCACAGATGTGCCCATACCCGGCCCACAGGGTCTGGAGGGTGGTACAGGAGACGAGATCGAGTGAGTGCCACGACAGCATGATGCTGGCGACCCGGGTGGGTTCATTGGTGGGTGGTGTGGGCATGATAGATATCCTTTAGACCACTGTTTATGATATTTCTGGGTATGGTTTTTGATAGGCAGCTTAGGACAATGTGAGATCCTACTGATAAGATTAGAGAGAATCTAAATCTGGAATGTAGTTTTGGATTTCCATGGGAAGGAAGTGCTAGGGTGGACCATATATGCCAGGAGTGCAGTATTGTTCACGTGAGTATTGATGAAGTATGAGATACGATAGATGCGACATCAAATGCTGTGACATGTTTTAGTGAACGGTGTTTCATGTACAATCAATCAACCTACTTCTTAGTACATGGCCACGTATACATGGGGAACCTTAACGTTCTTGGGGCTTAAGGACTGCTTAACACCTATGAATCCGCTTCTCTACACTATGTGGCAAGGTATGCGGAGAATGGCTGAAATACTTCTGATCCACTTCACGGAAGATTGTCCCGTAGCGTTAATTCTTGGCTATAATTGACTGAGATATATAAGCCTCGAGCTCGATGTAGGTAACTCAGAGTGGCTTGGGCTCTTTAGTAGCGATCAAGCTCTGAATTTGGGCCCTTTAAGTAAGTATTTGTAGAGATTCTTGTATGACGATATTATCGGGCGCAAAGAGGACCCAATAACAGAGGCCAAGTATTGCTTGAGGGCATAGAGAACGACAGGACCAGTCCCAGACATCAATTAGGTAACCCCTTTTCTCGCACAGTCAACTCAGCCGGCCAATTTGTGTTCAACACACTTCCGATTGCATCAAACTCTTGCTGCCAGCCGCTAGGGTCAGGCGGCACAGATCCATTGGGGTCATAATTAACGGATTCTGCATCCACCTGCACTTCGTTACCCAGACTCATCGTACCTTCAGCAATGGCGTTGCCAAGGTTGTTCAGTAAGCCTGGACCCTCTGCCCAAGCATTCAATGGATCTTCCCACACCTTCACCCGCAGATTTTGCGAGCCTTTGCGGAAGAAGAATTTATCAGGCAGAGGCTCATGAATTGGCTGCATAGCTGCTTCAGGATAATCTATTAAACCTAGAATAAGCCCGTGATCTAGATTGTCTTTAATCTTGTCTTTGGTTGCTTGATCAAAATGAACGCTGTCTGCCGTGAGCGACGCGTTGGGGGCGCGGAGCATCATGTGGCTGATGTGAGCT